GGGTTACAATGAGGAAAATGGATTATCACTGTGCGGCTCACTTTCAAAGAGATGGTAGGCTTAAAAAGGAAAAGTACCAGACAGACAGAAACAAATGTGGGGAAAAGGCAAAATTAATTAATTTGATTTCCGTGCCCTTTTCATGGCCATGATTTTTCATACATCGTCTGTGGGATCCAGGAGGGTGCACGTGGATTTTGCAAGTAAGCCACAGCTAAGTACTAAAGGGAAGGGGTGTAAGGAGTGGTGAGTGGCCCACAGCGGCTCACCAAGGAGGGCAGAAAACTACTCATCCTAAGCAAATGGGAGGCTGGTAGGTGGGAAGCTCAGTCACAAGCTCACGCGCCTGCTCCATAGGTGCAGTGCTCAATCACGGGCTTCATCTGTGATGCTAAGTTACTTGAAAGGCACTCACCTGTCACTAAGCCTTTCAAATCTATATTCCATACCTTGAATCGGGCCTGATATCTGCCCTTTAAAAAACTGCTGAATATATTTAGACTCACTTAGATATGCTGGACAGAGGGATATTTTAAATACCATCAAAATGGTCTTTTTGTCTCTGTATTTTCTCCAAAGAATTGAACTCCTCAAGCAAAATGCCAGATCTGCCTGCTCTCCTTTCAGACTAGAATTCTGCCTCCCTTTAAAAATCCTTACATGAAACACCATTTAATCCTTCTCTCTCTGCCTTTGTGTGTTTATGGTGACCTCTCAGTATTTTGGTTTCTTTAATGACAAAGTAACTGTGGAATCAGTCCACAGCATTTCTAGGGTACGTGTTTCTCTCCAGATATCAGAAAATAATGCATGAGGTTTTATTACTTCCTTAGACTTGTGGTGGGGAATCCTCCAAGGATGGAGTTGGAATAAGCAGCCCATTCTCTCCCAGTTGTCTGGGCTACCCGAGGCTCTGCAGGCCCCAAACTCACTTTCTGTTGCCCCATTTGGCACCAACCGCCCCCCTTTGTTGTGCAGCCAGAAGTCAGGACCGCCTGGCAGACCTGTTGCTAAATCTTTCAGTGTTTCTATTACGCAAAACTCCACAGTAGGTGTTTCTGTGTCTACAATGCCAGAATCCTGGGAACGAGTTAACCCAAATTAGTGTGCCCTCTGGCAAGCCCCACTATCCAACTATAAAAGGGGACTAATGTGATAGGATTCTCATGAGCCAACACCGGAGCTGGAAGAGCCCAACAGAGATGCAAACTGCCATTATTATTCCATAATAATAACTCCACATACAGGAATACCGGGATTATTTGAGACCTTATATCTGCCCTTAACCTATACCAATCCAATCCAGGGGGGCCAAGTACATCACACCAGTATTTGGCAGGATAGGATTGTTCATGATAAAATGGCAGAGATGTCAGGAACGTTAGGATTTCCACAAGTAGTATTTCTATGTCTTATATGGGAAAGAGACCCAGGGTGGTAACCTCTAGAGTAACATGTAATGTGGAGCACAGGATGTGGCCAGGAGAGTCAGGGTTATGATTCAGAACCAAGATGGCTGGACTCCAATGGGTGTGCAGTAGGAGCGTGGGAAAGCGTGGGCTCTGAAGTCAGGCCGCTGTCAGTTCAAACCCAGGTTCTGCTGCATGCGAGCCATGTTCCTCCGACAAGTTCCCTCCCTGCTCTGAATCTCAGTCTCCTGATCTGAATAATGGACATAAAACACTTATTCCACAGTGTTGCTGAGCTGATCAAGTGTGTTAACACATGTAAGGCTCCTAGTCCAGAGCAGCGCGCGCACACACACACACACACACGCACGTGCACACACACAGACACGCGCACGTGCACACACACGCACACACACACACAGACACACACACACGGACACACACGCGCACACACACTTCAATTCCAGAGCTGTTCTGCAAAGAAAAACCAAAAGGCAGTACAAGCTGCGCAGGCAATGAATTGACGACGTGTTTAAAGCAAAAGCAAAAAGAGTGCAAAGGCCATGGAGAATGTGGCACAGACAGGAAAGATGCTCCCTAAAGAGCTTGTCCTGGTCAGGGTGTCTCTGAGCAAAATGAGGGACAACTGAGTGACTCTGGGATCAACCTCAGTCCTGCATCCTCGTCAACACCTTAACTTTGTTCTCAACAATAATCCCACCCATGTGGGGAGCTCCCCTTCGAGGCACAGAGGCAGCCCAGAATGGAGGCACAGGATGCGCTGAGAAGGGGAGACCTGGGTGCCAGTGACAGCTCCCCAGGGATGGTCGGTGTGAGCAAGGCCGATGCAGCAGAGCCCCTCACCCGCCTGAGATGCCTCGTCCGCCTTCCCAGCAGCTCCCTTCCACGGAGCCCTTAACAGCTTGGCAATCAGAGAACATCGTGTGCACGGACAGCTCCGCGGGGATGAAGTGTCCCATCTGACACAGACTGTTCCGAGATCCGCGCTGTCCCTGCCTGGCTCTGCGTTTCACTGAAAGCCCCTTGCCCTGATTCTGGCCCTCAGTCCCCGCGCACAGCCACTGGAGACTCTAGCCACTCTGGATAATAGAGGCGGCCTTTCTGGGGCATTCTGCTTGGAGAAGAGGTGAAAGAGCTATGCAATGCGCCTGGAGCCCTGGGAGTCCATGACAGCCAGGAGCATCCTGGGCATAAAAATCAGCACCTGCGGCCTCATCCCACTCATCTCGCACAGCTCTGCAGTCCTTTCCATCCTTTCCGGGATGCCCTCACCGCTGATAATCAGCATCCATTACATTGGCGCCAGGAACCAGCTCAGGAGGCTGCCTGATCCCCCCTCCTGTCTCTCCAGCCCTCCTCTGGAAGGACTCAGAGCGCTTGCAGTCAGAAATCTCTCCCCATTGAGACCATTTTTACTGTTGGTGAACTGGAGGACTATTGCCATTGCCCAAGACGCAGTTCTCTGCAGCAGGTTTGCACGGGGTGCCAGTTAGGGAGGAGAGGGCAGCAAGGAACCCCACACTTTAAGGAACAGGGATGTCATAGCAGCCATCTGCATGGTGGAGGGGGCTGGGGAGCACAGGGCTGTTGGCAAGGCAACAGAGCTAGTTAGGACCATGGGAACCAGGCTGATGGGCACTGAGGGGGCAGCCCAGGTGGCCCTCTCTGCTATCATGGGCCTTGCAGATTGAGCCCTCCTCTTCCTGCCGGGCCTCCTGCCTTCATTGTCCTGAGGACTGGCAGGTAATGTTTGTGGCAGATCTGTTAGTGCAAACAGGGAGGCGCTGAGAGGAATCTAGTGGCACTACCACAACTCCTACCACCACTCAGCCTAACTCACAAAGCAGCCCGACGTAGCCATGGGAGGAAAAGGCCTCTGACTCCCTAGCCCAGAACTACAAACCGGCAGCTGACAGACTGAATCCGACTCACACAGAGATCTTCTATGGCTTGCTCACTTTTTCAAAAACTGTTGAATTAGTGGTCAACATGGAAAAAGAGAAATTTCATCTTCAAAAGTTTAATTTCTGGCTTTTCTGGAAAAAGCAAAAGGAGGATCTTGCAGTACTGGCTCCACGGCATGGCAAGGCAATAATAAACTAGAGGCGAGTCGCGGCTGCCGCTTTAGAACTGCATGTGTGTACAGCTCACCACAGTCCCCACCACTCCCTACCATGTCCCCCAAACCCAGGGGAAGTTTTGGTCACATTTATCATGGGTTTGTATATTTGCTTTTCCTAGAATAAACACAATGCAATATTTTAAATGTTTCTCTACATCAAAATATGAAAATGAGGGTCTAAGACATCCCATTTAAATAGAAATAGGAGAAAGCCTACTAACTGCACGGGACCAAGAAGGATGTAGAGTGTGTCTGTGTCGGAAGAACCCGATCCAGCAGCTGCGCTCGCTGACCTCACACAGTCACAGCCGCGGGTGTAGGTGGCAGAGCTCAGCACAAGACCCACAGGTTCTGGTTACTATGACATGGACATCCTGCCCAGCAGAGAAATTCCAGAGTGAGGAGGCATTACCCTCACTCCTGGCAGAGGCAGACCTGCCTTAGAAGAAGGAGAATCCAGTAAAGGCGTGTTAAGAATGAAATCAGCGGCTGCTAGTTAGTGCTCTTGTTTCTACTGTGGGCGCCATTGTCCAAGCAGACCTTCAGAGAGCGACGGGGCACTCTTGGTGATGCTGCCAGAACAGCAGGTGCTACCTGGGACGCATGGACACCTTATCTCCTTGGAGCAATCGGGGACCTTTGGGGGCAAGTATTGTGGTTAGAAAAAGTCTAACCACAATAAGAGGAGCAGCTGTTAGATGAATAGGGAGCATGCTGGAGGGGAGCAGGAGGGAGAGGGAGAACACAGCCCTGGTTGGCGGGAAGTGACTCGAGCTGCTGGGCAGCCTGTGCACAGTGGGCCACACAGCAGGAAATCATGAATTCCTTCCCTGGTGCAGATCAGGCTGGTGTGGATCTGGCTCCAGCCAGGGCCAGTTTTCTCAGGGCTTGATCCCCCCGGGGGCTCAGAACAACCTGGTCACACCCAGAGGGCTCAGGAGGAACAACCTCCCCAGCAGCAGTGGCTGCACTCAGAGCCTTTGGAATCAGACAAAACCTAGTCCACAGCTTAGTAACCGTGGCCTGAAGCAAGCTACTGAATCACTCTGCTTCTGTGACCTGTAAAATGAGGCGACTAAACCAGACTTCATAGATCTGTTTGAGGATTAAATGATACAATGCACGAAAAACACTCAGCACAAAGATGGCACATAACAGGGATTCCACGCCCGAACTTTTATTACTGTTTGCTCCCCTGTTCTCATGCCCACAAGGCTCTGCCACCTCATCCTGCTCACTGGGCACCTTCCTCACCAGGGCCTTCCTGACCCTTCCTCACCAGCCCCAGACACGCCAAATTCAGAACTGCACCTTGGCCTCTCTCTCTCACTCTCTATTGCACTTTTTTTTTTTTTTTTTTTTGCCTGTGTACTCCCCACCAGACCGGGAACTCCTTTTGGACAGAGAATGCATCAAGGGTCCTCAATCTAATTGCCTGTTGGACTCACCTGGGGCCAGATTCTGGGACTAGGCATCAGCACGTTGTCCAGCTCCCAGCTGATGGCAGCGTGTGTCCAGGGCAGAGAGGTCGTGCTACTCAGGTGTGCACTGAGGACCAGCCGCATCAACATCACTGCAGCTCCTTAGCAAAACCGCGGACTCTGGAAACTCCAGACCTAGAGAATCAGAACCTGCATTTTAGCCAGATCCCCAGGAATGGAAAGCACAGGAATGCCAGCGAAGTGTCCCCAGAGCTCGACATAATTCAAACACCCAGTGGGTGTTGAGCGGGGGTTCACTGATTGACTAATTGACTGAATGAGTGAAGCCCTGTGTCAGTTTCCACTGGGACTTCACACCTACTCCCTCATGTGCTATGAAACAAACAGGCTCCAAAAGTAAACCCGTAAAACATTCAGGAATTCAAAAATAGACACAGACCTAAGTTGATAGAACAAATAGCTGCAAAATGGTGAGGTTTTTGAATGAAATACCTGAAGGAATTTTAAGGATTTATTACCACCAGGCTCTGCGCCATTAAACCTCTTCTACTACACTTGAAGATAATTTTGTTTTGTTTTAAGATTAGTAATTGTGAAAACCTGGGAAACCAGGACTGGCCCCTGGGAGGATCCTGTCCACCTGTGTGGTTTGGGCACAGCCTCCAGGTGGCTGGGGCCGCTGGAAGGAAGACAGACTCGCTGGTGGGGAGTCCCCGGCACTGCCAAAGGCCTCCCCACGCCCGTTCCCTGGGGACAGGGCCTCTGTCTCCCCTCCGCAGGCTCTTCCTGGCTGTCACCCTCCCAGCCTGCCTCCCCCAGCCCCACCTCCTCCGCCGCCGCGGAGTTGCAGCTGACTAGGGGGCCGAACCCAGGCGGCGAGCATCGCCTTATCCAGCCCCAGTGGGGGCTTCGTCCCCCGCGGAGTGTGTCACACTCCGAGGCCAGGCTAGAGGTTGCGGCGCTCAGGACTCCCGGTTCCCGCCGCCCTCAGGCTCCCCAGTCCCAGCCTCCCTCCCCATCTCTCCCAGGCTCCCTTCCCCAGTCTCAGCCCCCATCTCCGGTCCCAACCTCCTCTGCTTCTCTCCCAGGATCCGGCCAGGAGATCGACGGGTGGCGGGAGGGGCGCTCTGGCGACCCTGGAAGCGAGAAGCAGGCCTCTGCAGGGCCAGGGATGAAGGTGCAAGGGAAACTCCTGGGACCTGGACCTTAGTCGTGGGAGGGACGAAAAGGAAAGTTCTTAGACAATTCTTCAGGCTTGGCTTCTGGGGGGCGGGGCGGGGGGAGGAAAGGGGCACGGGTTCCCAGTCCCACCGGCGCTGCAGCCGAGCGGGGCCTCCAGGCATGCGCTCATCGAGGGCAGCTGAGGCGGAAGCCGGAGGGCCTGCAGCGCTAGCTGTGCGACTCCGGGCGAGGTTTTTAAACTCTCTCCTGTTTTCCGCTTTTGTAAACTGAAGATAACGTCTCTCTCCTGGGAGTGGGAGCACGATGCAGACACTCCGTAGGAATTCGGAACTTCTTGATTCTCCTTCCTTATCCTTGAGTTGTTTGAAGCACTCCGGCCCCTCAGCCCCACGCCTTTTCCCAGCCCTGCCCCCTGGTGGAAAATCGTAGGAACTACCTCTCAGGAGGGCTCCCGTAAGCCAGGCACTGTACACACACTTTTCATTTCATCTTCGCAGCAGCTCTTCTTGGTGAGTACTGTTATCCCCATTTTGCAAATAAAGCAACGGAGGCTTAGAGAAGTAACTTTTCCAAATGTGCCTCAGCTCCAGGCAAAATAGGAACCTAGGTCATCTGATGCCAGAGTCAGCCTTCCTCACTGTTTATGATCCGGCTTCCCTTTCTGTACCGAATTTTCTATTTCTGCCATAACAGATGACCACAGGCATAATGGCTGGAAACAGCACCCATTTATTAGCTCACAGTTCTGTAGGTCAGAAGTCCAGGCTCGATGCGACTGTGTTCTCTGCTCTGTTCTCACAAGGCCAAAACCAGGGTGTCAGCGAGGCCTGCATTCTCATGTGGAACTCAGGGCCCCCTTCAAGCTCCTGTGGTTCTGGCAGAATTCAGGTCTTTGTGGTTGTAGGACTGAAGTCCTCATTTTTTCGCTAGCTCTCAGCTGGGGGCTGCTCTCACCTCCCAGAGGTCACCCACATTCCTTGCTCTGTGGCCCCCTCCATCTTTAAAACCAGCAAAAGAAAAAAAACCTCCCTCTGTCTAATTCCTCTAATAATTTGAATCTCCTACTTCAGGAAAAGCCCAATCCCTTCAAAGGGCTTATGACTGGGTCAAGCTCATCCCCGACGAACTTTCTTTCTTCAAGTCAGCTCTGCCATATGACATGCCCCAGTCATGGGAGTGAGGATTTCCTGGGGTTCCTCAGGGGGTGTATACAAGGGGGCAGGAATCACCAGGGTGTCTTGGAATTCTGCCTACTTATAAGTGCCTTCCCTGTCACCAGCATGTATTCTGGTGTTACATTCAAGTGTAACACCTTGAACGCTTCCTGCTAACCCTAAAGGGCCTTGAGGGGAGAGGGGCAGCCTATTCACCAACCAGTTTGGAGCATTTTCCTATGAGTGCAGTCATATATATTCCCATAGAAGAGTATACAAATATCTCCATATGAGACATAAGCACACCCTCCTCCATTCCTCTTCCTCCAACCTCATCCCATGTTTCAAAGCTCAGGGAATGTACATTTTGATCCAGCATATCTGAGAGAGAAAGTAGGAAATTGATAGAGATGTTTGTGATCACAGGTAGGGAGACTGAGTCTGAAAAATCACTCCCAGCCCAGTGATCTCTCCAGGAAGCCCTGCTGACCCCCAAGCAAGGCTCTTCTCAAGTTGCTGTGGCCCCGACTCCTGACATTCCAGACCACGCCGTGATCTCTCCAGGAAAACCACCAAGTTTTCCTCCCTATGGGTGCGTGATGTTTGACCTTCTTAATCCAGAGGTCCATCTAAATGGATGTCAGATTCACTAATGCATCATCTGAAATACAACTTCCTTTGATTTTGCCTCTTTTGAGTCTTTCTCCACTTGTGTTTTCCTATCAAAGGGATTAAACCACTTTGCTGGACTTGAAGCTCTGTCTTTTCCAAAAGCTTTCTTCATGTCTCAGCACAGCTTCCCATTCGCAGACACAGGAGAGGGTGGAAGAAGAGCAGTAACAGGCTTGATGAGGCTTGATAGGATTTGCTCAAGTCAGTGCCTTTCCCTGCGTCCTGCAGAGAGTAGCTAGGATGTTCGGCTTGCCTGGGCCAGCCACGGCGTTCCTCGCTGTCTGTCCTCTACAGACAGTTCTGTAAAAACCCTAGCTTCAAAGAGGAAATGCTTGAATATCAACAATGGGAGGGCTGGCTCTGCGTTTATCTTCTTCACTGCTTTATGTCCAGCTCCTAGCACAGGGGCTCCGCTACAGTAGTTCCTCAATTAATGTGTGCTTAATGAGTGCATAATTAATAGAACGGATCTCAAAAACCTGATTAAAGAATTTCATCTCCATTGTCCCTGAAAATCCTTTTGACTTGATAGGCACACAACACTGGAAGCCAGGGTTTCAAGGATGGGGATTTTACTTACCCTTAAAAGAAATCTGAACAGTAGAGGCTCCATGCCGGTCAGCCCAATGCTTGCCCTGCAAATTGCCCTCTGGGCCTTTAGCTCCTTGTCTTAGATATTCTCTACCTCTCTTTCTTCATCTTTAAAATGGAATTAATGGGATATTGCATTAAATTTCAATTTGAGGAGAGATTATGAATACGTATGTTTATTTTATTTATATTTATGTTTGTATCATGTATTCCTTCCCAGAATCCCTACAATTGGCTCCCAGGGCTGGAGGGGCAGAGAATATTATCTGGGATTTATAGCAGAGTAAACTGAGCAAAGAAAGTTAAGTTTGTTTTTCTTTGGACCACAAAGCAGGTTGTTGGACACTGCATTAGAATCCAAATGTTACCCTGGGTTGAGCAAGGAATGACTTCTGCAGATGATTCCAGTGCACTGGAATGCATCCCAATATCAAATCAAAAGTAAACCACCTTTGCCTATCTGCCGGATGCAAAAAGTTCTCCTATCTGGGCTGAAGTCTCCTAGAAAACATTTTCCCATTTCTAGTACAGCACAAAGCCTTCGCCTGCAAGAATCTATGCAAGTTGTTTAAAAATAAAGAAGGAAACAGTGCAGAAAATCAGCAGCAAGCTGTTTTCCCCAAAGAGCTGAGCACAGGAGGATGTGAGCTCCCATGTGCCCCAGCCGATGACTCATTCCTGTGGGCACTGTGCCTGCCCTGCCCAACCTCAGTGGCTCAGGGAGTCCGCAGCAGCACCCCCATTGGAACCCTATCTTGGTTCCAGCAGCTGGGGTGTCCAGAATACACGGGGCCTTGGGACAGCAGCATTTTCCACCATCTCCGAGCATCTGTGATCAGGTTTTCAGGATGAAGTCTCCCACTTAAGGCAGAGCAAATTCCTGCTTGGGATTCTGCAAAGATAGCCCCAAGCATTTTCCTCCTTGTCTCATTTATCTTTGTTAACTGCCACACGAAGGAGCAGGAAGCAGGTGGCCCTATGCAGGGTGGGAAATGGCCAATGGATATGTGGGACAAATAGCCCTTCAGATGACCTTTCGATATGATGTTTTAAAGGTTACTTTAAAATTGCTATAACCACTCAGGCAGCACAGGAAAAGGCCTGCCAGGGTCATCTGACTTCCCGGGACAGCTGGAATCTACCTTGGTTTGCCATTAGGCAGTCGGCTCCGTGGTTGACAGACCTTTCTCCAGGTTGTTCCACTGGGGACACAGCTTCCTGGTGTTCTGCCTGGTGGAACCTGCAGCTGGAGTCACCCTCAGAATGGTGGCAGGGGAATTCCTGCAAGGGACTACCCAAACCATCCCCAAATGGGGTCAGTTGAGATTCCAAAGAAGAAAGCACCAGGTTCCAAAGCACTTATGAGGGGAACTTACATGTAGAGCGCTGCAGTGGTCCTCATGATGGACAGCAAGAAAAGAGATGCTCCGTTTAGGTACGTCTGCAGCAAGGGCTCTGGGTTATGGAGTTACTTGGCCTAAAGTTGGGCTAATTCCTACATGTTTAGCAACATGTTTGATCTTTCAGTATTTCAGGTGACAACCTAAACAGGGTTTCAGCGCCAGGGAATGTTTCCAGGGCTCAGGTCTGCAGGAAAAGACATGCAGCTGGCCAGGTGGCAGAGCAGTCTAGGCATTCTGTGTTCCTTGATCAGGACAGATAAGTAAGTGGTGGTTCCTGGGGGACCCTATACCTGGGAAGGAGGGTACCTGCGAATTCAGGGAAAGCTTGCTTATAAAGAGGAAGAAGGGTTGAAGGATAGTATCCCTAAGGTGACGTTTCCCAGGGCTGGAAGCTCATAGAACTTTCTGGAGGGAGCAGGTCATCAGCCTTAGCATGAGCCATGGAGCATCAGTGTCTGCTGGCCATTGTGTGCTGAGTGCTATGGGTCAGGCCTCGGGCTGCAGCCAGATAAACTTAGACCCAGAACCTCACTTGGCCACATGCTACATGAGCTTCATTCTTCTCTTCTGAAAAATGGGGGGATAATAATAGTATTTATCTAACCATGTTGTGAGGATTAAATCAGCTAATGGATAGAAATGTCCTAGTGCAGTGCCTGGCTTCTGAGTGCTCAGAAATGTAGTCTGTTATTGTTAATTAAAGAGGTCTTTCCTAATTGCATGAGAGTCTTAAAGCATGTCAAACGGGTTTTGAGGGAAATATCCGACACCTGTACTGCAGGCGTCTGGGTATCTCTTGGGGGTGTGGCAGGTACCCCCCAAACACGTTATGCCCTTTGAAGAGCCTTGGGGTCATTAACATCCTGTCCATTTCAATTTCTTAGAGGACAGGGAATCAAATTTTCTAATGGCGAGCCTACACAGCAATTTGTCATTTTAATAAGTGCTCAGATGGCCGCAGACTTCACACTCAGATGGTAGGAGTGACCAATCGACAAATCAGACACGTGCCGCCTCTTCCTTTCTGTCTGCTGCTAAAAGGCCTCAAGATAAATGGAGACAATAAGGAATGAAAGAAACAGCACAGGCTCGGGCCAGATGAGCAGGAATCCAAATATCAGCTCTGCCTAATATTTGGTGGCCTGGGGGTCACTTACCCTCTTTGGAACCCCATTTTCTTATTTATCCATCCAATTATTCAATAAGTACTTTTTGAATACATCTATGTGCCAGGCTATGTTCTAAGTGCTTGGAACATCACATAACAAAACGAACACACACTTATGCCCCTGTGGAGCTTACCATCTGATGGTGGGAGAGAGACGATTTGAATTAAGCCTGATTCATAAGCAAACAATATGTTGTTTATATAGTGGGAATTCCAATATCTAATGCCAGTGAGTTGCTGTGGTGATAATAAGCGACAATCCACATGGAATGCATGGGACATAGTACATTTAATAAACTGTTGTGATTATTCTTTTTAAAATTGCTCCCACATTTCTCAAACCCTTTTAACACTTAATGTGTACTTTGCACCTAGGTGTTGTTTATGTATTCATTCAACAAACAGCTATCGAGCATCTATTATGTGCTAGACTCTGTACTAGGCACCAGGGATACAAAAGAACCCTGTAAGAGAGTGAGGCCCCTGCCCTTGACGATTTTACACCCCGACCCCTGGATCCAGAGGAGAAGCCTGGGAGAGCCCCGGGGCGGGAGTGGCCTTTGATCTTGTGTTCTAGTGAATCAGAACAGCCCACTTCCCTGATGATGTCTTTTTTAACTCAAAGCATCCCAGCTATGGCTGGTGATTCTAGGAATGCCATGAACCAGGACATGGAGATTGGAGTCACTCCATGGGACCCCAAGAGGATTCCCAAACAGGCCCGCGAATACGTCCCCATTGCCACAGACCGCACGCGCCTGCTGGCCGAGGGCAAGAAGCCGCGCCAGCGCTACATGGAGAAGAGCGGCAAGTGCAACGTGCACCACGGCAATGTCCAGGAGACCTACCGGTACCTGAGTGACCTCTTCACCACCCTGGTGGACCTCAAGTGGCGTTTCAACCTGCTCGTCTTCACCATGGTTTACACCGTCACCTGGCTGTTCTTCGGCTTCATTTGGTGGCTCATTGCTTACATCCGGGGTGACCTGGACCATGTTGGTGACCAAGAGTGGATTCCTTGTGTTGAAAACCTCAGTGGCTTCGTGTCCGCTTTCCTGTTCTCCATTGAGACCGAAACAACCATTGGGTATGGCTTCCGAGTCATCACAGAGAAGTGTCCGGAGGGGATTATACTCCTCTTGGTTCAGGCCATCCTGGGCTCCATCGTCAATGCCTTCATGGTGGGGTGCATGTTTGTCAAGATCAGCCAGCCCAAGAAGAGAGCTGAGACTCTCATGTTTTCCAACAACGCGGTCATCTCCATGCGGGACGAGAAGCTGTGCCTCATGTTCCGGGTGGGTGACCTCCGCAACTCCCACATCGTAGAGGCCTCCATCCGAGCCAAGCTCATCAAGTCCCGGCAGACCAAAGAGGGGGAGTTCATCCCCCTGAACCAGACCGACATCAACGTGGGCTTCGACACGGGCGACGACCGCCTCTTCCTGGTGTCTCCTCTGATCATCTCCCACGAGATCAACGAGAAGAGCCCTTTCTGGGAGATGTCTCAGGCTCAGCTGCATCAGGAGGAGTTCGAAGTTGTGGTCATTCTAGAAGGGATGGTGGAAGCCACAGGTAAGGTGCTTTGTCCTCCTTAGCCACAAATGGCCCTACTTACACTTCAGACTTAGACCACTGTGACTCAAGAAGATGCAGGTCTGTGCCTGAGAGTCCTGGGGTGGCACAGGCAACACGTTCAATCCCTAAATTGTGGTTTGAGTGGTACTGCTACTCAAGATGGAGTAATAGCAACAGCTAACACTGACAGGAGCTTCCCAACTTTCAGGCACTGTCCTAAACCATAAACATCTATCATTTGGCCAAATGTCCTCGCATGCCTTATAAGATAGTGGGGTTTTTTGTGGTGGTGTTGTTGTTGTTTTGTTTGCTTGCTTGTTTGTTTTTGAGATAGGGTCTTGCTCTGTCACCCAGGCTAGAGTGCAGTGGCCCGATCTCGGCTCACTGCAACCTCCACCTCCCAGATTCAAGCAATTCTCCTGCCTCAGCCTCTGGAGTAGCTGGGATTACAGGTGCCCGCCACCGCGCCCAGCTAATTTTTGTATTTTTAGTACAGACAGGGTTTCACCATGTTGGCCAGGCTGGTGTTGAACTCCCGACCTTGTGATCCACCTGTCTTGGCCTCCCAAAGTGCTGGGATTACACGTGTGAGCCACAGTGCCCAGCTGAGATAGTTTTTATTAAGGTACAAATAAAGAAACAGGGACACAGACAGGCTAAATTATTTGCCCAAGAGCAAGCACTTTTGAGTGATAGAGCCAGGGTGGAAATTGAGGCAGGGGACCCCAGAGCCAGCACTTGTTTCCAACAGGCCAAATTGCCCCTTCTTGGAACAAGTGTTCTACCCAGAAGAGCTTGCTGCTCAGATAGCTCTGGTAATCACAGGGCGAAACAAAGGCGAACTGGTTTCTTTACAGTGGACTAGTGGACTTCTCGCTCTCCTTACCCACTGAGTCTCATCACTGGGAAAGGAGAGGATGCAGAATTTCCTAAACTCAAAAGGGTTCTCACCAATCCTTTACTTGGAAAGAACTTTGCTGCAGGGGAGGGGCTCTTTTGGCTGGGCCCCCTCTGGAGCAGCCAGCCCTCAGCGTTGTTGCAGAAGGTTGGCTTAGTGAACCCAGGGCAGGCAAGGCTCCTTTCTTACAAAAAAAAAAAACACCAATGCATCCATACTGAGGCATCAACATCCACATATGCCCAAGAAAATGCCCTTTTTGTGGCCAGCATGGTACCTCCCTGCTCAGCTACTGACTCACCGGCAGCTGGTAACCAAGGACCCCCCGATTCCTCAGCCACTCAGCCACGGCAGACCTCTGTGAGGTGGCTCCAGGGATCCCAAGGCCTGGGACCGCCTGAGCTCTGGCTGAGAATCCTAGTCCCCACCCCACCCCCAGCAAAATCCGACATCCTGCGTATTTCGTTTCTTCCTCGTGCCTTCCTTTCTCTCTCTCTCTCTCTCTCTCTCTCTCTCTCTGTCCCTCTCTCCCTTTCTTTCCAACCAGGTACAATGAGCAGCTGGTCAGGCCCTAAGGATGGCTTCTAGAAACTCAATCACACTCAGAATTATGCATGTCTATTTTTCTAATTCTTGCAAACAACAGTGTAGAGCTGGCTTCAGTCTCATTTTACAGATGTCGAAGCTGAACCTCAAAAGCATTATGTAGACAGTGAGTGCGCATATTCAGCTCTTCCACTTACAAATCTGGAGCTTCTCTCACCACTCTGCCCCCCTGAAATACTAGGGGCCTGTCAGAAAGATGGCCAAGCACACCTTCCAGACCCCAGGAAGCTGGCTGCCGGGCAGGGGACTCAGACCCAGACTCCACAAGCCTTCCCATTTTGAAGTCGGTGGAACCAGGAGAGGGCAATGACAGGCTCCAGGGACTGGTGCCACAGAGGGCTGCTCAGCCATCTGCTGGGGGCTGGAGCCTGGCAGGCAGCATATGGTGGCAGGTGGGCAGCCCCCGGGGCCAAGGACAGTCAGGACGCAGGAAGCTTTTCCCTGCAGAGCTAGGGGCTTGCAGGTCACCCTGTCCTTGGCTCTAGGGTCAGAATCAGGACCCAGGCTGCATTTCAGGGGAAGAGCTCCACTCTGGAGTCACAAAAAAGGGATTGGGTGAGAGACATGGGGACAAATCATAGCATGCCTGACCACTCCCCAAGGCCGCCCTCACTCGCCAGCCACACAGCGGGGAGAGCGCCCACAGGCTCATAGTGGAGGGAACCAGTGCTATCCGCCCTGCTACACCCCCAGCCATGCCTCCCTCGAAGTCAGGGGCCCACCGTTCACTTGTCCTCACGGTTTGTCCTCCTTCCCCTCCTACAACCTGGGCTATGCTTGCTCTGTCCCAGAAACTGTAGGGGAGATCCAGGGAGATAGGGCAGGAGACCCCGGCCCACATCTGTCCTGGATGTGGGTGGCTTGGTTGTCAGGCACATGCAGCCAGGTGTGGGCTGGGAATCCATGCCTCGGCTTGAGTAGCACAACTCTGCTGTATCCTGCCTGAGCGGGTCTGAGCCAGCTGCTTACCCTGTCAGCAGAGTGAGGAAAATCGATCTCCTAGGGCTGTTGGGAGGATTCAAGATGAAAAGGAGCACCCTGTGCTGAGCACTATACCTGACACCTGGAGAATCCTTTCCAGAGGCATCGAGCAGTGACAGGGACACAGCAGGATCTCTAGCTACAGGGCAGCTGCTACCACACCCCATGAGCAGCAGGAGGCACCCAAAGGGGAAAGGTCCTGCCCACACCTTTCCCAAGGCCCTGGGAGCCTGCAGACATCTGGCATAGTCTAGGCTGCTCAGGGCCCAGTTTGGGCCTCTCTGCCAAGGCTGTGGGGACAACAAGGGTGAGGACTGAAGGGAGAGGCCCGGCCCAGGCAGGCATCCCTGAGAGCAGAGGGCAGGCTGTGGGCCCACCTGTGTGGGTGCGCTGGGGCTGAGAAGCAGCCTTGGACCTGGGTCTGGTTTGTATGAGCCCCTCCCAGAGAAAACTCAAAGTGGGAGCCGGAGATGGTTGCCTTCAGCACCCAACCAGCACAGTTAATGCCTTCCTTGGCCAGAAGATTAAATATCAGAAAGTTGCTTTCCTGTGACCCTAAGCACAGAGGCCTCCTCATTCATAAACAAAGCTGCTCTCCTCTCTGGAGAGAAAGCAACACCTAAAAATAGCACAGGCATGGCACAGGCTGAGTAGATGGGAAGCGAGGCATTGGAGCAGCCTCAAATCAAGAAGTCAAGCTCTGTGTGTGCGTCTGCTCCTCTTCCTGTGTGTATGTGAGTGTAGAGCCCTCTCTCCTTATGTGTCTACCCAAAACAATCCCCATATGTTCCAAATGCCTGTCAGCTTCTCCGTGTTCATTCACGCTGAATTTATCTTTGCTCTCTCCTGCCTTTTTCCCATCTCAATCTTCTAGACCTGAATGCTGTTTTCAGGAACCAAGTCCCTGCCTTCAACTATTCCAACATCTATTCACTCCAATCTCTAGGAAATGACTTTCAGAATCTTGCATGTTGGTTTCTAATTTTCTGCCACCACCATGCCTTGAACTCCTCCAGGGCAAGGATGTGTCGTATTCAGCTTTACATCTCCACTGTGCTTAGCACAAAGCAGATGTTCATGAAATGGTTGATGAATGATTGAATGGATGAAGGAATGCATGAATGTATGGATGACTGGGTGGATGGATGATTGGATGGATGGGTGATTGGGTAGATGAGTGGATGGATGGATGGATGGGTGATAGGATAGATGGATAGATAATTGGAAGGATAGATGAATAAATAATTGGGTGGATAGATGGATGATGAATGATTGGATGGATGGATGGATGATTGGGTGGATGGACAGATGGATGATTGGATGGATGGATGGATGGATGGATGGATGGATGGATAGATGATTGGATGGATAGATGGATTGATGGATGGATGGATGGCTATATCTTTGCCCTTTCCTGCCTTTTTTTCCATATCTGGATGGATGGATGGATGGATGGATGGATGGATGGATGGATAGATAGATGATTGGATGGATGGATGGATGGATGGATGGATGGATGGATGGATGGATGGATGGATGATTGCATCATAATGCATGTAACTTCTGTTTTCCCAGGCATGACCTGCCAAGCCCGGAGCTCCTACATGGATACAGAGGTGCTCTGGGGCCACCGATTCACACCAGTCCTCACTTTGGAAAAGGGCTTTTATGAGGTGGACTACAACACCTTCCACGACACCTATGAGACCAACACACCCAGCTGCTGTGCCAAGGAGCTGGCAGAAATGAAGCGGGAAGGCCGGCTCCTCCAGTACCTCCCCAGCCCCCCGCTGCTAGGTGGCTGTGCTGAGGCAGGGCTGGATGCAGAGGCTGAGCAGAATGAAGACGATGAGCCCAAGAGGCTAGGTGGGTCCAGGGAGGCCAGGGGCTCGGTGTGAGGGCTGCAGCCTCCCTAAGACCTCCTGTCACTGGCTTCAGTGAGCACAGGTACTGCAGAGCCTGGGACCAGGGGAGGGGAATAGTTGAGTGTGCTGTTTGGGGGCTCAGAAGCCATAAGGCTGTGGGGAGGAACCATATACCCAGCCCCCACAGCTCCCAGCACAGGGCCTCCCTGAGCCAGTGGCATCCTTCCTGGGCCCCCCATGGCAGTGCTGCCTCTTGTGGGTGCTGGCTAAGGGCCAGGCCAGGATGAGTTTCCCCATGGTGAATGTTACAAGGTGGCATCTGTTCTCTCCCTGCCCTGGGTCACTTCCTTTTTTGGGTCTCACAGACCCTCCAGGGGCTAACATCTAGAGAGAGCCATCACCTTGTCCTCTCATTCCTTCCACCATGAGGCTTGCCGTGGATTCAGAGAGGAGCCTTACCTGATGGGAGCTCAAACCTCTAGTCTGGGATGAGCTCACAGAGCCCTCATGGGTTAAGGTCCATCCGTGTCACATAGGCAATTCCTTTTAAATCAGATACTGATGACCCATTACTGAGAGCTACAGAGCATACAGCCCTTGGTGTTCTCCGCTACTATCTGCCAAGTGTGTGCTTTTCCTCTGCTGTGTTCTGTGTGTCCAATGTAACCTACTGGAGAATCGATCTCATTAGAGTGACTCTTAGAAGGTGGCCTGGGACTAGACAGCCCCTCTGAGCACAAGCATAGTGGCATCAGCAGCTTCCTGGCCTACTCCCAATCACACTGTGCCCTGCACCTCCCACCAAGGGGAACCCCAGCAGCTGGGGCTTTTCTAGTGCTTTTTGGCCCAAGAATCTCAGAGTGCTTCTAATCATCACAGTAGTTTTTTGTTTTGTTTTGTTTTTTTCACAATCTTGGCGAGCCTGTGGTGTGACCTGGGGAGAAAGCTGAGTGTCAAGGGGCACGATGAGCCAGTTGGCCCTGAAACAGGAATGGGGCAAAGAAAAAGGAGAGCCAGGAGCATTTAAAAATCAGCATCTGGGCAGGGTGCGATGGCTTACACCTGGAATCCCAGCACTTTGGGAGGGCAAGTCAGGCATATCATGAGGTCAGGAGATCGAGACCATCCCAGCTAACACAGTGAAACCCCGTCTCTACTAAACAAATATAAAAAATTAGCCGGGTGTGGTGGCGGCGCCTGTAGTCCCAGCTACTCAGGAGGCTGAGGCAGGAGAATGGTGTGAACCTGGGAGGCGGAGCTTGCAGTGAGCCGAGATTGTGCCACCGCATGCCAGCCTGGGCGACAGACTCCATCAAAAAAAAAAAAATCAGCATCTGCCCCAATTGTGGCTGAGACACTCTGCCACAGGGCTCAGCACCTTTGCCATCAAGGCAGATGACGGGATGTGAATCAAAAGTGAGAGGTGACTGCAGTGGCAGCTTCACCATCAAGCTCAGCCTGGACCAAGCTCCCAGCCCGGTGCTGCAAAGCCCCTGGGCCTCCCTCTGCAGGCAGAGCTACAACCGGGAGGGCTGGGCAGGGAGGGCAGGGAGGATGCCCTGGGAAGGCGAAGGGAGTGGCTGCCCCTCCCAGGCTGGAAACAACAGGGCAAGGCGGTCAGCAGGAGAATTCAGGGACACGGTGAGTGTTAAGAGAAAAAGAGTAGAGAAGAGCCTGAAAATCACCAACCTCCGGGGTTTTCTGCTCTGGAGGCCCAGTAAGAGCAAGGGTGGAGGGGGGCAGATTGTCAGGTCCCGGAATGCGTGTTGACGCACACAGGCTTCAGGTTAGCTGGCCTGACGGGAGAGAGTGCCAATGTTCCCAGGCCACAGAATTACGGAGGCCTCACCCAGTTTTCACAGCTCTCAACTGGCCTTTGAGAATGGAAGCCTTTTCCTGCCCTGGTTATGGCACTTCTCCCCGGGAGAGAAGCAGAGCCACAGAGAGGTAGGAAGTTGAGGCAGAGCAAAGGGAAGGCTTCAGAGCTCAGGCCCGGTTCATCTCAGATGCGTTTTCTAGGCCTGGGGCTGGAAGGGAGTGGGCCAGCCTGGGATGGGAACTGCCTCTGTGGTCTGCGCACTCCCAGGAGGGGCTCCCAAAGCTTTGCTCCTGGGCTGGATCTTGAGAGGTGCGCAGGGTGCCATGGCCAATTGAGGTCTTCCCACCAGTGGCAGGGCGTGGAGTTGTGGTCCCAGGCATCCGTCTTGGGGAAGCAGGCCTTGGAGGGAATGGGGAATGGGCTGGCACCCCACTTAGGGGAAGCAGACGGTGCCCCAGCATGGGAGCTGCATGCCCCTAGGAGTCTCAGACAGGCAGCTCATCACCAAGGCTGGGTGCCTTTTGGCGGAGCTACAGCTGGAACCCTCTGGCTGAGGCCAGCACTCCCCCAGGGCTCCCTGGACCCCAGGGTTACTAACAGCAAAACCATTCCACACCCCCTTGCTGGATCTAAGCCTATCTTAGGACCAGTCAGTGCCCCCAGGTTAGAGCCCATGGGGGTCAACTAAGCAAGGGAGGGGAGGTGAAGGCGAAGCCGGCCTTGCACCCAGACAGTGGCCTGGCTCCTCCCCACACCTGCCTTCATTTATGACTGAAACATCACCCAACTGACCAAGGGAGCCACTCTCCATTTCTCTCATTCCACCAGGGCCCTCCGTGAGCCAGGACCAGGTCACATCTCTCAGCCAAGTCTAGAAGCTCTGGGTAGAGGAGAGGAAGTGTGCAGAGGGTCCTTAGCCAAAACTCCCTGCCTGGCCCGAGCCTGGGCATAGTGGGATTAGTGCAACACTGCCCCAGTGTGCCCCCTCTGCCTTCTACCATGCCAATTTAAAAGCAAGAAGACCCCCTTCACATCCTGAGGAAGTCTCCTTCCTGGTAACCAGTCAAAGCAATGAAAGTTTGAAAAGTTCTTCATTTTCTAGAAGTTCTTGAATAAACATGGACTTACTAAATGCAGAGTCTGATGATGGACAGAGTTTCAAGGGGTCACTTTCAAAATATTTAATTAATTTATTTATGTAGAGATAGGGTCTTGCTCTGTTGCCGAGGCTGGAGTGCAGTGGTACAACCTCAGCTCACTGCAAATTCTGCCACCTCCCTGGATCAAGCGATTCTCATGCTTCAACCTCCTGAGTAAGTGGGATTCAGGCATGAGCCACTGCGCCCAGCCATTTTCAAAACATTGCTCCCTCATACGAACCACTCAGAGGCCACAGCCCTTGGTTCTGTGAAGGCTCTGAGCCCGTGCCATCACATCTGATGGACCCCAGAGGGCTGACCCCGCTTTAAGATGGGGTTGTGCACTGGTCATTGCCACAGTCTTGAGTATCTCCAAAATCCCAAAGTGATAGATATTTCACTTTCGGATGCTGAAAGTTTGGAGAGCTGGTTTCTTGCCTTAATTGAAGCTCTCTGAGAATGTCCCCTGTAGGGAGAAGCCTCCAGGAACTCAGAAGAGAATCGTTCCCACTTGTTTTCGTTGCTCCACCAATCTGATGCCTGACAGATGTCACCACTGCCTAAAGGATCCTGTCCCCAGGCCAGGGCAGAATGAGCATTGCCCGTGACTCTCCCCTTCAGACTTCCCTCCCACCGGCCTCCTGTGTAGTCAGAGAGCCCACCGCCCATCGCCTCCTGCTTCTGCTTTGAGGTTGAGGTCCTGGCCTGAGCAGTTACCTTGCTGGAGGAGAAGAGCCCCTGCCGTCTGGGGAGCACTGTCCCTGCTCGTGATCTATAACAGTGGGGCGTCTTTTTCACACCCCTTATCTCATGGCTTGCCTTCCAGCCCCCATCGATCCTATGCCTCATGTGAGGTGAGCCCCAGAGAAACTTAAATTGCTTGTACTGAAGTTGCCAAAAACCAAAGTTGCCCACTGTCTTTTAACTGAAACACCTCTGCCCGTGCATCATGGAGCACGTGTTAGGTGCCCGCCCTGGGTCAGGCACTTGATTCTCAAAACACTGCCAAGAAGCTCTTACCAACGTGACAGTTGAGGCTCAGAGAGGTTCATGAGCTTGCTTAAGGCTACGGGTAGTAATAAGAGGCATGGCCTTGGTGCCAAGCGCCTCCCAAACAAACAGCAGGGGCCGTGATCCTGCCTAAACTCTCGCATCCACGGCACCTCTCTGGACCCAGGCAACAGAGATAAGGAGAGCCCTGGCTCTTGGGATGGCGTCGTGCCGATTCACCTGCTGTGCCGCAGAGCCCCGGCTTTCACCCAGGATGTGCCCCTGTGGCAGGATAATTGAGAAACAACCTTTTTCTGATTCCCAGAGAACTAATGAGCTGCAAAAAGAGATTAGACAGGGAAGAATTGCTTTCGGGGAGAAGCCACTTACTCGGCTCGCCTTGGTTTTCGCTAACAATGTCTCCTTAAACTGCTGTCAAATCTTTTTCTCCCTGTGTAGGATTCATCAATCTTCATATGAAAAAGAACACCACTGCACTGCTAAACATTCACACAATAAAATGGACTTGACCTTGCAGAACTCTTTCTCATTTTAAACAGACGGCCACTAGTTGCCCATGTAAACTCATTGCCAGTTGTAGAAACCTTGTCCTTCTTGGTTTTGTTAGCCTAAAAATGTAGTATCAACATCTAGACCACTGGTTTTGAGGTGGGAGAATGGGCAAAGGTGGGGAGGAGACAGCCGGATAGGGGCAGCTGCACCAGGTGTCTGGAGGCAGAGCTGGCGGCAGATGCGGAGGGTGCGGGCAGCAAGGGTTCTCACACTAAGTCATTCATGCCACCCCCAAATAACTTCTGTACATTCTTTAATGTCAAATATTCAGAACCCACATTACCTATGTAATGAGTAATTTTAAAAATACCTACTTTAGGGGGCCCTTGGACTAGCATTCTGCTGTCGGCATACATCTGCAAAAGGATCGTTCTCGCTGAACTGTGGGAAAGGGGCAGAGGAGGCTGTGATTTCTAATGTTGGCAAAAGGTCTCAGGATCTTTCAAGAGAAGTCCCAAAGCTTCTGTTGAGAATGTCATTAGCAGAAGAGGATGTAAGATTCGCTTCTCTTCTCTGGTCACCCAGTGGCAATATTGAAGAGCCGAGATTTACAGAAAATCCCTCACGTACACCAACACCAATGCTCACCAGGGCTCCGATTCAAAATGAGAAGCAGTATTTTCAGAGGAGAAAGGCAGCGAGGCTCTGATGTGCGTGGGAGCGCTTCCCATATCTGGCCCCATGGCCCCGCCACGGTAGCCGGGCATCAGCAAATCTGTGTGGGGCTTGGGCCAAAAGCACGTGCTGAGCCTCAAAATCAGCCATGAACAAAAGTACCTGGTGACTCTGAGGGTGAATTGCCTTTACGTTGGGAAAGACCCATGCAAAGGCCAGGAGCTCTGGGAATGTCCCTTGCCTGGGGATTGCACTACATTTACTGTTCAGGGTCAGAATGGAGACATGAGGTCAGGGAAACGATGAATCTGTGAATTTGCACATTTGTCAGTCAAGCTCGGATTGCAATTTGAGGAAGGAGAACTAGACCCATAATCTAATAAAAGCAACTATCTGAAAGTAACCCTTAGAAAACCCACCCGGGCCCGGCCGAGCATGGTGACTCATGCCTGTAATCCCAGCACTTTGGGAGGCCGAGGCAGGCGGATCACAAGGTCAGATCGAGACCATCCTAGCTAACACGGTGAAACCCCATTTCTACTAAAAATACAAAAAAAAATTAGCCGGGCGTGGTGGCGGGCGCCTGTAGTCCCAGCTATTCGGAGGCTGAGGCAGGAGAATGGCGTGAACCTGAGAGGCGAAGCTTGCAGTGAGCCGAGATCGAGATCACGCCACTGCACGCCAGCCTGGGTGACAGAGCGAGACTCCGTCTCAAAAAAAAAAAAGAAAAAAGAAAA